CCTACAACTCAAGAGTTTCTAAATTAAAAATATATTCTATAATGTAATTACCAAAGTCCCTATTATATTTTGTGTTTTGTTTCGTTGACCGTCTCATTTGATTATAACGCTTGTACTGTATTTATACTGGTACCAAATTGTTTCAGTGTTCTACTGTGATTATGTTTATGATAGAGAAACCGTGCTATCTTTGCTAAAATGTTTAAAAAGAGTACAAAATATATTGGAATGCCAGTTTCAGAGTATATTTGAATGTGTCCATATGGAAGCCAATAAATGGTATTATTGTATGTTAAGTAACTTGAATGACTTTTAATAACTTTCATGTTTGCAACTCATAGTTGGCATACTGTTAATGAATGTTTCTATAGTATTCTTTGTATCGTCAGGACTGACTTACCCGTTTAGAGATTTATATTTTCATAAATGTTGTACTTACATTTTATTACAGAGTTGTTTAACTGAAATTTAAGCAGAAAAGAAACTTATGTCTGAAGCAATATGAAACTAGTGTGTATGCATTGTTTGTATGAAACCTTTTAATGTAATAAAATGGTTCACTTTTTGCCTCCACTCCACTGCCTCGAGCTTTTCACAGTAATCAGAGCCTGCTACGAGATATTTCAACCATGTTTGTGCTTAGAGACAGCGGAAGTGTTTTTGTTGATTCATGTGAATAACTGGCTGAAATTAACAGTCCTGAAGCGCTGGTAGCAATAAGTTAACTTGCAGAGCATCCTGTAAAACAGGTAATTCATGGGGCTTTTTGGTTTTTTAATTTGTTTCCCAGCATCAGAAAACACTGACATTGCTGACAGCCTCTCACACACACACACACACACAGAACAAAGCTGTAAAGCAAGTTGATAGGCCAATAATTGCTGTTCTGCGCTTGATGCCGAATGCCAGACAAGCGTGGTGAATACTTCTCCAACACTGGCTGACATTGTCGTTATAATTAGATGATGCATATGCGGTGCACCTGTACAGTGCCCTGCGCCAAACATACACACACACACTCACTGAGACACACAAACCCGCAGGTAAACATCATCCAAGATCAAGCTGTGGCTACCATTTTAATTTCCCAGTGGTGTCACTCTAAGCTAATCTTTGTGTGTGTGTGTGTGTGTGTGTGTGTGTGTGTGTGTCCCGTCTCCACGGCAACATCAGGTCCGCAGCGGTGACAGACTTGGCCACGCCTCTCAATGTAATGATGGTGAGCTCATGTCTTTTGGCTGCTGGGGCTGCTTCCAGCCCTTATGACAACAAGAGCTCGACTATCGCTAGCGCATTCCACCTGCAGCACCACGCAGGTGGAATGTGCATTTCCCCAGTTGCCTCAATGCCAGACCCCAGTTAGGAAAGATAACCACCACCCTGACCTGCGCTGCTGTGCTTGAGGGGGTTTGAGCAGGAGGTCCCTACAGGTCATACAATGTGTTTCTGTTTGTGTGTCCTACAGTAGGTAGAGTATGACATTGCTCTTATTTACAGGGTCCTAAAATAGCCACTTCACCATCAGCAGCATTTAACCAAGGCCCTCCTTTTGTCATCCTTGTATTTTTTTTTTATCTGTACCCTGTATTTTCAGTGATGGGGAAGCCTGTGACATATATTTCCCTCCCCCACTCTCTGGCAGACCAGATGAACCAGCCACAACTAAACACTAACTTGACTGGAAGCTAAAATTTAAAATACTCCAAATTCTCTGAGCAGTCTGTGTTTGACACACGCGGGGAAGTCACGTCAGTGTGAGGCCACTCAAAGACAAACTTACATTTTACAGTTGTCCTTTATCTGCGAGGTGAGTTACAATAAATCCAATCATTGAAATATAACAACTCAAGATCCCCACTCCTTCAATCCTTGTTATCTTCTTTCCTCGCATTTCCCCAGTTGCCTCAATGCCAAACCCCAGTTAGGAAAGATAACCACCACCCTGACCTAATTCCTCTGAACCATACTGGGAGGAGAAACATCAAGATGCGAAGGCCTTCTTCTTCATGTCGGCTGCTCTATTTCAATTTCGGGTGAATAGCTGGAATTGGGAGGCGTTAGAAGAGCTGTTTGCCTGTGATAGGTTAAGGAGATTAAAAGCTGTCCACTCTGCGCTGCTGTGCTTGAGGGGGTTTGATCTGAACGCACAGGAGAAAGGAGGAAATGAAACATGGTGACAACTACAGATGCTGGACAAGTCACTCAGAAGTTAAAAGCTCCTGTATAAAATGTTTCTTCAGTATTTTATCTTATGTTTTTCCTCACAATTAATAATCGCAGTGAATCAAATCCTGTGCAGTGGAAAGTACATTCCTTCTGCCTTGGATCCTGGACAATGACACATTAAGACAAACACCTGTTCAGCTGTGACTCAGTACATAACAAAGTCCATTTAGTTTTCTGCTGACTCACACACAACGAGGACATTCAGCAGTGTTTGACAAAGGAGCAAAGTTACGAGTTTTGGTATAAAAACCCTGAATAATGTTCTAAAAGTGACAAACACTCAAGATAAAGATTCAAATTATTTACTGTTGTTTTAGTAATATGTCAAAATGAACATTTCACTAAATTGATTAATATTTTTTTATAATATTTGGTGAATTTTTTTGGTTTCATGGTTTTTTGGTTCTGGAGCTTTCAGTCATCACGTGATCATCAGCAGGTAGAGATCAGTGACTCAATGGCAAGAAGTTCATAAAGATCTGAGGTTGATTTTAACATCTTTCATCAGAACTGTGCAAATTCTTCTGAGCTTGTGACCGGAAAGTCGCCGGTTCAGTCCCCAGACCGGCAGGATTGAATCTGGGTGGAACAAGTGACAAAGCAGAGCTTGCCCCACCCTCATTAACACCACTGTGGTGCCATTGAGAAAGACCCTCAACCCCAACCACTCCACTGAAGCTGCTCATTGGCCGTGGGTCAGTCTGTTGCTGTGCTGTGCGGCTTCCAGGTGCAACTGTGCAAATGAGAAAGAGAGAGGTGGCCTTTCACTGGACCTACTCTGAATAAATACAGGTTTTTAAAAAGTGATAGAATTGAAAGCCTGAGAAGAGCTACTGATGGAGAACAAGAGGGTTAACTGCACCCGGTCAATTCAGATAGTGCCAGTCAGGCTTTCTATCACACAAAAGGATGCTACAGTCAGCCTCTCTGTGAGGGGGTCAACCTTCCCTCATTCACTGCGCTGTCGAATGCATGAACTGAATCATAGCGTACTTGCTGTGAGGATGATTAAAAGCAAGTGGAAAAAATACAAAAACAGCGAGAAGGACGAGATGAGAATAGAAGCAAATAGAAACTACAGTATCGTTTTAGATGGCCAGGTTTTTTTATATAAGCCTATGCAAGGTTTTTTATCATATCCTGGTTATTTCTACATGACTGACAGTGAAGTTATTCATCATCTTTTGCAGTAAAAGAAGAATATCTCTTCCTTTTTGTGAATTAATTGAGTCCAAACGAAGACATAAATCTCCTTTACCCTTAGATTCACTGCCATGTTCCATTTCTAATACTGAGGGTTTCTGTTTTTGACCTCAACAAGGATAAACTTACATGTCGGTGCATCTGTAAACACTCAAACCGGTTTCTCAGTTGTATGCCGCCATCAAGGAAGTCATTTACATATAGTGATACAAAACAGTAGGCACTGGAAAAACAAAATACATCATTTGTTTCATATCTGCTACAGAGCAAGATAACCTTTCTTGCTTACAATACACGACATATTAAAATATTTACTCCACTCCACACATCTAAATGTATGCTATGTTTTATTTAATTTTATTTTTTCCTTCTCTGGGTTGAAGTCCGTTTACGTTGAGTGGAGCGCAAGTGTTACAGATGACTTTGCTGTAATTGCATACAAGTCATTCAGTGTGATCAACCATAATAACTGAGGAGGCAGGTCAGGTTAAGCTTTGTCAAGCTAAACAAGTTGCCAAGTCAAGACAGGAAGTCAGGTTTATTAATGTCTCACATAAAGATAAATGCTGGTGCAGTGTTAAATCTAAAGGCGGCTTGTTTTGTGAGAGTTCAAGCTTTTCCAGAGGCCTTAGACAGTAAGTGTTCAGCTTTTCACAGAAAAGAGACAGAAGTCAGAAGAAAAAGCTTTAGTATCATTAATGTTGGGACCCTTTGCGGGATTAAAAGACACAAAATAACCACAAAGGCTTGAAAAATGATAAGGAAAGATACAACATTGCATTAAAGTGATGAAAAATGATGGCAAAAAGAGAAGTTCGCCACAAAGAGATGCAAAATACAATACAAAATGGCTACAAATGACATGACTGCGTCCATCTGGGGGGCCTACTATATGTAGAAGGGATTGGGGCCTTTAACCTGTCTGTGCCCAGGGGCCCATTTTCTCATCCACCTATGGATCCTAATCCCAAGGTTGAGAACCACTGTGCTCATATAAGTTACATGATTAAGTTTTCTGTAGACCTTATAAGGTTTATAACATGTTTTCTGTAAATATAAAGGAACAAATATAGTTAGGTTTACAGCCCAACGCACAGTGTAATGTGTATATGCCTATACTGTGTGTATATTGGGATTTTAATGGAAGTATCTGTTTTGCATTTTTTGATTATTAAACCTGGATTTTTCTTCTTTGTAAGTTAATTATGTAGAACCTTTCAAAACCAAAAAGTATCACTTAAAAAGTCTTTCAAAATAAATGCCTTTGTCAGAACAGCCTGCATGTACATCTTAATGCTGTACATCTTAAAGATATGGTCTGACGTTTGGGTTGCTAAGTTTTCCTGTGGAAGCAGTGGCAGGAAGCAGCTGTGTGTCACTGTGTGCAACCTGACGGTGTTATAGTGGTTTCTGTGACTAACAAGCCGTCGGCACACTGCTGTTCAAACAGGAGACATGGGGCTGTGGAGTCACCGAGGGGGGGAACCACAACACCTCAAACCCAGGGAAGGAGGCCGTTTCTAGCTGGAGATGTTGACCTGCTTTTTCTCCTGTATTTGTCATTTCTCCCCCGAAAAGGAACGGAAGAGAAACAAGTTAAATGACAACTGAAGTTGTCCGTTCTTCTCTGATACCTAGGGCAAAGCGCCACACCTTCGCTTAGCGCAACAGGTAGGTGCCACCAACATTTTGTAGCTTTGCGCTGTTTCTGGCTCGCTTGCTTTAAAATACTGCTCCAAATGACCTCCAACGAGTATGAAACGTGTTGTGATAACGTTATCAATCATTTGCTGAAACAGTTTCGACGGTTCACAGCAGCAGGTGGATGTTGAGTTATCAGGAGCAAAACACTCAATAACGTCAGGATATTATGAGTTTCATTTATGTATGTCACAATTTGGTGCTGTAAATGAAAATAATGTGTCATTTGTGAGTAGCTCCACCACCTGCTGCACCTGTTGCTTGGGCTGTTAACGCGCACTAAATAAATAAATGTGAATATAACGTTACTGCAATCTAGGCAGGGAAGACCATTATTTAGACATCATTTTGAAATATACTGAACCCAGCACGCCCCTCAAAGTGAAGACTGAAAAACAAAAAACAAGGGTACAAGATGTTTCAGTTACTTTTTATTTCATAGAGTTGAAAGCCTTCTCTATAAAATTAAGGTTGGGAATTTATTTTATTTTTGCTTAATGGAAATAATTGTTTTAATAGGATTATTTTGTCTAAACAAATGTGAAAAATGCTCGTGATAACTTCCTAGAGGCCGTGGTGGCGTCCCCAGGTGTGGTGGTCAACAGGTATTCATTTTACAGGGACGGAAAACAAGAAAGAGCAGGATAACAGGCACATTTGAGATGAGGTTTGGTACTGCTGTTGTGACCCAAATGATCAACCACTTGTCAGAACAGTTTATTTAAAGCCATTTAATTTGATACCCCACACACTGTAGTTACATTACAGGCATGTCAGAGCTGCAGTAATTTGTACTACACTGTACATTTTGTATATAATCAGTTACTGTACATTCTTTCTATTATAGCTCATTGTTTATTCTGTACTTTACAAAAATGGAGTGCTGTATTTGAGTACAGTTATCTGCACCGAATATTTTCATTTTTGTTACTTCATACTCCATATTTTTACTGTGGTATTGCTGCTTCTGGTAGAATTTCTTTCACCACTTGTAAAAATGTGTACTTGCATGTTGTCGTTTGTGCTGTTCGCTTAAATGCTCAACTGTTTGATTGTACATACTGTGAGCAAAGAGTTGAATTTAAAGTACAATGGCATTTTAGCTCAACAAGTATTCAACTTCACTACCTTCACCCATGTTGCTAAAACCTTCAGCTGCCCAGAGATAATACTGAAGACATGTCCTGTGCACCTGTACATGACAAGCATGTGTGAAACTGAGAACCTCATTATCTCTGTGTGTTGTGCATGGCATCGTAAATGACATACCGTACTGCGTGGGAGCACAGTTGAAAACACCCTGAGCACATTACTCACGGGCAGATAAAGTTAATGAGTGAACGGAGAGATGTTACCGGGGATGTTTGTTCTTCATGGTGGAGAGGCAGAGGAGGAGGAGGAGGACTGGGCTTGGCTCAGTTAACCAGAGCTCAGCTACATGGCCTTGGGCTTTGTTTGCACATGTAACATGCATCCTGGGTCACCTAAACTGACATACAAACTTTGTCTGACCGCCGAGCTGTCGTGTCTGTTAGTCTGTTGCTGATGGTTTCCTGATGTGTTCTTTTAGCTCCATTCAGGTGGGATTACAACCTTATGACAGGTGATTTACACAGGTCAGCTAAACCCTTTTTTGCTTTTAGTGGCAGACTCCACCCATGTGGCAGCTTATTAGACAAAACAAGCCATTTAAAGTGGATGCAAATACTGTTTGTTCAAGGTCTAGTTTGCTGCTGCTGGAGGACTACACCTGAAACAGGATGTTAATATGAGAACAAAGCTCTGTGCTGTTGTGTACATTATGGCCTGGAAAGATATTGTGCTGATAGTTACTTTCTTTTTTCAAATAAATAGTGTAATAACAGGAAAACATTTCCATTAAAACCCATTTAATTTTAAATGAATCGGGGTGTACCACTGAACATGACTTGTACATTTAACAGGACATTTGCAGGATTTTCAATTAGAAAAAAAAAATTATAAAGTGAAGCGATTAGTTTATCCACAAAAAGAATTAGATGGTTTAATCACTGAACTAATTTACCAAGCAAAAATGAAAATATTCTCACTTCCAGCTTTTCAAGTACAAGAATTTGTTGCTTTTCTCCGTTTTATACAAATTTAAATGGAATATCTTTGGGTTTTTTGATTGGTTGACAAAACATTTGAAGGCTTTGGGAAAATGTGGCAGGTGTTCTTCATTGTTTTCTGACATTTTATAGATTTAACAATTAATCAGTTCACAGAAAAATAAATAGAGATCCCACTAGTGAGAGCAATGGACTGAGAAATGACTGCACACTGATCCTCCTCTGTGTGGGAGCTAACACTAGCTAGCAGCTGTCAGCATACAACACAAAAACTGCAGATGAACCAATTTCTGTCCAGTCTGTGTTCAAACCGAACACTAATGCAGACATTCGGACATAGTTGAAGTATCCGCCACTGTATGTAGCTGTATAGGATAGTATTATTTTTTTTATTAACTTATAGATGTAGGTAGTGTATATACTGTATCTATGACTGATAATCAGTTTGAAGCCCCAAACATGCGCATTTACCTAGAATTCAATGCAGCATGATGTCAACTTCACATTCTCCATTCAGTTTACAGAATAATATGCACTCTTTATCTAATGCATGTGTATTCTACCTTTGATAAGTATCAAACCTAGTAAACTATGTAAAGATAAATGTTTACATAATAGTTGTTTGCCTGTTAAAGATGTAGCTTGTAGTTAGTAGCTCTCTGCTAATTTACCTCTCCACCACATGCTTGAAAGTGCACTCTTCCTTGGCTTATTTACTTGCTGAAGTCCAATTCAGAGCTGCTGGGTCAGGAGGATCCCTGGGATTTAAACAGCAGCAGGTCTGTTTGCAGTGTGGGGGAGCGAGGAGGGATATTGATAAGTGTGGGCTGCTGGGTAATAGAGAGGAGACAGCACTTGTTTTCATCAGACTGCTGCCCAAGGCCATCTGAGAGAGGATGTGTGGACTCAGCACAGAATATTACGCACACAGAACACTGTAACATCATGTTTACATTTGAAATCAGACGATGTATTTTGATATTTCACTTTCACTGATATTTTACATGTCTTATTCAGTGGCATGTCACATGATCGGTCCACATATTCAGTTTATTAACAACTGTAGATTGTTTTTAACCTACTCTAATTTCTTTTAAGCCTAGGGTCTAATGCAGTGGTCAATTCCACCTTAAGGGCAGCGGCCCCCGAGGACCAGGATTGTCCACCGCTGTGGGACTCAAAACACTATAAGTCCCTCCCATCACATCTTGTTTCCTAACAAACTGTGACAAACTGTACAGAATGCAGCCTCCAGTCCGGAGCTAGCATCAGCTGCCTAGCGAGTAGTCAGTCCAGTACAGCGCTCTGGTTTCTGCTAATGTGACACAAAGCACTCGTGGAGATAGTCTTTCCTCGGTCATAGTTGTTTTTGTTATGCCCTTGGATGGCTGAAATCTATCCACAACCATTTCTGTCTAACTGTGGGTTTTAGTTGCTGGTCTAAACGCTGCAGATATCAACAGTATAAAACCAAATACAGGCTTTAGAGATCAAAACAAAAAGCATGAAAAGAGCGTCGTTAGTAGATCATTAAATCCCCTTTCTCCCATCTGCCAACTACGGGTGCAAAGCTACATGTATTTATAGTCTAACTGTAGTTAACAGTAGGCTTGTTTTGTGCACAGGGTTTTCTGTGCCTAAGCCGTCTTCATTTTTTCAAATCCATGTTTCCACATGAACATAAGTGGTGGACAAGAGAGCTATTACAGTTTTTCTGAATTGCTAAAACATACTTCTTGAAACTATCACTCATTTCTCAGAACCTTAAACACAAATCCAAATATTCAAACTAAATTCACAAAACCTCTGACTCGTCTGGCAAAATCAAGCAGTTGCTTCAAAACCATTTTACCAGCTCTCAAAATGAAACAATGCTTTCCGATCATACACACATAAGTCAATCATATACACACTGCAGCTCATTCATTAGACACTACATCAAAAAAAGGAGAACACAGCATCCAGGACATGTAGTTACAACAAAACAGTTTATTGTATATAGTAAAAAACACAAAACAAAAGAAAATCACACCTAAGTATGGTGAATCTACCAAAAACCATGTTACTATCAAAAGAGAAGCATAAAACCACATCAGAAAGATTATTCTGCCTCAGGATCATGTCTTTGAGCCGGGCCCGGCCAGAGGGCTTCATCCACGTCGCAGGCAATGTTGTCCCTTGCCAGGCAACGGGCAAAAAACCCTCTGGTGCGACGGATCCAGCCTTGACAAGGCTGCAAGTCTGTCTCACCACAGGCCAGTTCCATTGCCTGTAGCAGATTTTCCCTGGTATATGGGTTGCAGTCATAAACCTTCCACCGCCATGCTGAGAAAAACTCTTCTATTGGGTTGAGGAAAGGGCTGTATGGCGGAAGGAACACATTTAAAAATAGCTGGTTGTTGTTGAACCACTCGTGTATGTGGACACCACAGTGAAAGCTGACATTGTCCCAAACCACGACATAGACAGGCTGCACTTCCTGCTACATTTCTTAGACCATCCAGAAATGTGAGAAGATGTTTTGTATTGTATGGCCCCAGGGTTGCATGTGCATGGAGAACCCCATGATTGCTTATAGCTGCACAAAGGGTGACATTACCACCACGTTGACCAGGGACTTCCATGATTGCACGTTGGCTAATTATATTTCTCCCTCTCCGTCTTCTCTTCGCAAGATTGAATCCTGCCTCATCTACAAAAATCCATTCGTGGGGCCTTTCCATTGAATCCAGTTCGAACACTCTTTGTAAATAAAAATAGTCATTTACTGTAATACATAAGTGAAACTGAAAGGCTTCTACAGTAGTGTCTTTGTATGCACTCCTGCTTTACATACACAACATAGTGCACGTTACAATAACTGTAGGCTAGAAGCTCAGA